CCCCTCCCTTTTTTAAAAATTCAACATCTTAGAATAAAGATAGTATACTACATTACATTCCCCTCACAAAGGCTAAAGGTAGAAAAGAGAAGGGAACGATTGTCTGCAACAAAATGCAAACATCTACATAACATAACACAGAAACCTAGTGCATAGCTCAAAATTAGTTTAGTTTAAAAACAACTTTATGGACACTTCCAATCAATCATTTGCCTATAGAAACTAGATAAACAAACATAAAAAAAACAACAACCCCAGAACCAAAATCTTTTGACTATATGAGATTTCCCATTTGTATCCAATATGTGCAATATATAAAGGTTCAAGACATATCATCAAAGTGTATTTTTTAAATTCCCATATCTGCCACAGGTCTCTCAATGTAAATATTATATTTATATCCCTCTGGATCGATTTATAACAACAACACAATCCACAAATCACACACAGCTGTGCTCCCTTTAACCCAATGATTTTCAACATCCACCTTGAAACATGAGTTAAATATAAAAAAGGCAACATAGTTAAAACTGAAGACAACAATTTAAAGCCTTTAACTTGTAAAAGTTTTCCATAAACCAACCCTTTGAAATGGACTGTTTCTTTAAAACAAACAAAAAAATGCTTAAACAATTGAAATCTGTTCTTTAAAAAAAAAAAGGTTTAAACTGTTGACACCTACAGAATTATAATACGGAAAAAAAAAAGAAAAGTCGCTGTAACTGTAGATGCTTTGAGTCATAGGTAGTGCAAACTAGATTAGAATTTCAACTGATACCAGCCCACTCATCTGAATCAAATCTCATTGAAAGCATTTTTTTCTGTGCTATATTCACGATGAACATAAAAAAGATCTCCCCTTCCATCCATCCAGTGAACTATCAGTTATATATCATAGTGATAACTTATCTAGGTGAAATAGTTCAATGCTACTCCCTAATGCACTTGGGGTTTATAGCAATCTGCCACAGATAAAAGTCTAGTCACTGACCGTCCACCATATTAATAACTACATAAAGTTGAGCATTAAGAAAATATTTGCTATAACTATAACCAAAGTCACAACAAAGTTAAAAATGTGTGAAAATAAAAACGGTACAAAATATTTTTAAAGAGTTGGGATGTATAAGATGTAATTGTAGATGTCCCTATCAACACAAATGAGGTCATTTAGGAGGTCAGCTGCTTCCACCCTGCCTGTCAGGGCAAACCCACGTTGAAGAGAGGGATAACGTCTCAGCAGAAAGACAGAGTGACAGTTGATTAAAAATTTCCCTACTTGAGAATCAAGCTCATTCCTTTTGTGTGAATGGAAAAATAGTGTCTAATCGCTACACAACAGACATCAGTTGGATGTATAAAATAATCAATACTAGTGCAAACAACGAAAACTTGCATTAAAAATGTTTTAATGAAAGCCTAAAGTTCATTTCTTTCTTTTCATCAAAAGCCAAAAGATATTAGCTCTTTAAAATTTTTTAATTTCAAAATAAATATAGAGAAATGTGGTAGCAAGAACTAGATTTTCAAATTAGGAAAAAAAAGCCTATCTCAATCTAACAACAGAAAACCTGAAAACCACATGAATAAATGTGAGTTTGAAAGTTTTGGAAAGAAAGTGAAAGGATTTTTATCATTTCAACTAGCATGATTAGACAAAATATCTAAACTATCACAACATAGGCCTACTTACAGAGAGCTTGAACAACTGAACTTCTGAATTTTTGAAGAGCGTAGACAGCTGGAAACTGACAGACAGTTTCACTCCAACATCCTGCTGAGCTCTTGTTGCCCTCTTACTATTGGCATCATTCAAATGCAAGTCGGTCTCATACGAGTATGAGTACGTCTTGGATGAATCATAATCCAGCGCAATACCTAAGAGGACAAAGAATTGAAAAATTACTCTTCGACTTTTCATGACAATGACAGGCAGAGGTTTTTGGGGGGTTTTTTTAGTAGAGGTTTTTAAGGCGCTCGCAACTGCATATAAGGCATAAGGTCATATGAGCACCAAGAGGTGGATGTCAACAGAGAAGTCCTTACAGGGAATCAGACTTATTCTGCTCACCTCTCTAGCTTCAGCAGCACAACGGCGTGACAAAGTCTGCTTCAACTATCAAGGCACCCCGGAAATAGCGGGTCACAAGAGTGTGACAAACATACAAAAGAAGTAGAGAAATCTGACGATAGTAAGGATTGGGAAAGAAAAAGCAGCAGTTCCCTATTGCAGTTCAGGCACAGTCATGAGCATGACATTGTTAGATCTGCCCATTTACAATTCTACTGTGCACTAGAATGAGAAAGGGACCCCCTTTGGGAATGGCCTAAAGACATTCAAACAGTGGCATTGCCCCGTCTTTGAATCATGAAGGGAATAAGACATTCTGTAATCCACTTATGCAGACAAAGCATGAGAGAAACTGGATCTCTCTCTGTGGCTACATAGACCAGGTAGGAATTCCTGTTCTCATCCTATATCAGTTGTCATCTGGTCTTGTTTCTTCCGCATAAATAACAGAGTGCTTTGAGTTTGAGCCATTAGACCAAAAGGAGGGGTGCATGACTTCAACAAAACAACTGATTGTTTATGAATTTATAGGTTTTCAAAAACAAAGAATTTAACACAAAATGGCTGAGCAAATGAACAATTATCTTTTAGTGTGGCCAGCCAGAGAACCTACGCAATAACTGAGGGGAAATTCTTTTGATAGATAAATTAGTGGAAGTAGAAGCTACACGAGACGGGTTCCCAAATCATAAGGGTTTGAACAGAAACAAAAAAGTAGATTTGCTCCTCAGACTGAAAGGTGAAACAGGAGTGGCCTTATTTTTATGACTTTAAAAACAGAAATTGTCATCACTTTGCATAGATGATGTAGTGAAATACTGTCGAAACTATTCAGGATGGCCACCCATAGTCGAGAAGGAGAAAGAATGCCTTAGACATGTGAACATCTTGCACACTGTGTCATATAAAAAAAACCCAGCAAAGAGTAAGAAAGTGGAAAGTGGCCCTTCATACTATACTGGTGATTGTCTTTGATAGGTGGCTGTTACAGGCAGAGGTTTGACTGATGTAGTGAAATTCCAGTGAACAAATAACGAACAAAACCCTCCGTACTTGTGCTGACTATGACATTAGCAGAGCCCTCTTTTATTAAGTCAATTACCTGTAAGGTTGCCCACTTTTCTTTCTGGTCGAAAGGTCCATTTTATTGAATTGCATTGATAAATATTTGCAGAAGAGAGTTATGATCAAGGTATATATATGACTCTGTATGGTTGAGCGCTTTGAAAAAGCAAAAAGACAGTTAAAATTAAATACATGATGGTCATGAGATGTGTGTGTATTCTACCATCAACACTGATGTTCGACAAACTGAGTTATTAATTTCATTCTTATTTCTAGAATGTTCTTTCTGTCTTTCACTCTGTAAAGTGATGGCTAGGCTACTGTTTTGCCGCTTCTGAGGTGTTCCATTTTACCATAGTACGTACACATTGAGACATGTGTGTGACAATACAATCAAACAAAGTTAACTGTATGCCAGTGAGTAAAGTAAAGTAAAAATGTGGACAAACTTTCAAGCCATTCTTCAAGAATGCCTGTCAAATAACTTGTTACCCCTCCCACAGTGTAGCACAGAGAAAAGTTCTTCCTGTACTGTCTAGAAAACTTTAAAACGTTTTAATTAAAACACATCCTTAAATGCAGGAGTTACAAAACTAAAATTCAATTAATAAGAGAGAAAATTAACTCTCCTACCATGATAAGAAATTTCCGTGAGACTTCTTCTTCGCAATAAGGTAACAGAAATGGTAAACTTTACAAAACATCTTTTCCTCAAAAACTGTTTCCTTTAAGATAACAATAGAGGTGCTCATGGTTCGTGACAGTCAACAAAAAATCATATACTCTTCGGTCAGTATCAGCATCCGGGATATATACTTTCAACAGTTTAAAAATGTATTACCTCTACTGGACTTGTTGCCACCAGCAGGCTGGTATTGAATCAATAAAACGTGTTCGTTAAAATGTTTGCATGTTTTCAGCAGATCTAAGGAGAAACCGATTATTCGTTAAACTCCAAGACGCGGACCTTTGTACTTTGTCGGGCCGCCATCATATGGAGGTTAGAAGACCCCCCAGCTGCCATGCCACAGGCCATATATATTATATATATATATATATTTAAAAAAATTTTTTTTTTTAATATATATATAATATATATATATATATATTTAAATTTTGACAATATAAGCTTCTTGAGCACAAAACCATAGGCTTACCACTGATCAACAAAGTGCAATAAAAACATTTTCAAACTTTGGGGAATTGTAGTGATCTCAACAGCTCACTGACGAAATCAGTTGATTCCATATAGTCAATAAAAATATGAAAGTCAAGAAATAATAATAATTTAAAATACATTTCAAGAGAATTAAAATAAATTTAGCCATCAATATAAAAATGGGCACCATTTTCACACACATGATGATGGTAAAAATGTGAGGCATTGGGAAATCAGGTGCTCGTCAAAATAAAATGAAAATTGAAAAAAAACAGGCATTTTCCCGCCAGTTTGGATTTGGCAATTTTTATCCAACTTTTGTTTTATCACCTTTTTTATGTCCATTAAAAAAAACATTTCTGTGTGGATTTTTCTGCAAAACATTGATGAAAGTTCAAAGGCACAAAAAATTTAAATTTTCAGTTTCCTCACACTCTCAAGCTATGGAACTTTTAAAGTTTTAGGGGCCATTTTCTCTCTAATTTATTTTACCTCTCTGAAACCAGGCGACCCCACCTCCTTCAATCGCAAATATTTCGACTTGTATGCAAGATAGGTTATTATAATATTTCTGTCTTCGTCAGAAAGACAAACGAACACATTTTAAGTTAATAAGGTGATACCAATTTACTCCACCACACACAAGACGCCCAAAAATTGACATGACAATATGTCTGATTCCACCACGTTGTGACAAAAAAGGATCGGCAAGACTCTCCATTGAAGAAAATTAATAGCCTGTTACAAGAGATCTTGTAGAGTTTAGTAGGGGGAGCAACATTACAAGTTGAGGCGTTATCATTCATCATGAATTGTGGATGAACTAGACTATATTCTACTCATTTTTTAAAAATTCGAATCAAGTTCACAAGACGTAGGCCTAGGCTCTACGCCTAGTCCAAAGAGGCAGTCTAGACATTTCTAGGCATCTATACAAAATAAGTTGCAAAATTGTAGGATAATTTAATATTAAAAGTCCTCTTCCTTACACATTATACATTAAAAAAATAAGAAACTCATACTCACATTGTAGAACTGAAGACAACACAAAAATCAGAGCTGCTAAATTGCGTTTACACACCATCATGTTGTCATTAGCTGTACTCTTGTTCCAAGTCTCAGTGTGCCTACTTGGAAAAAAAATTCTAGGCCTACTATTTTCCTTTGGTTCACAGGGTCTCAAATTAACACTTGATACAGCAGCAGTAGAAGTAGAAGAATTAGAATATATATATATATATATTATATTATATATATATATATCTCCTTTTTACTGGTATATATCTAGATCTAGATCTGGTTTGATCTATATTTCTAGCAAACTAGATCTAATTGCACAATGATAATGATAATTATGAAGTATAATTAACCAAGTCCCTGAAACTGACACGTTGACTCCACGGTTGAATGCTATTAGATCCAGTTTAGGTACGTCTATATTCCCCGACCCTATCTCTACCCTGTTTTTGTTCAAAAGAGCTCGTACGAAGTCCACGTAGCCACCAAAGTTTTGTCCAAGCCCAATACTCTAATCATTCAGAGGCCTGCTACCATGATAAAAGTTAGAGATTCTACTTGAATGGGCTGCCCTAAATAGATCTATCTCTCTTGGGGTTGTGTTGTTATCTAAACTCAGTGCTTTGTCAGCGCACTCTACGCTAGCCTAGAGGGCCAAGCAGCTAACCTGACACAAGTTTCGATCGCTGCGCTTATGATTATCTAGGGCATTGTGTGTAGAGTGTAGATCTAGGCCTGGTCACAGCAGTGCGAAAGCCAACGTCGTGATTGCATGGAGGATGGTCCGAAGGGCAAAAAGTAAACTTTGATATCACTTCATCACAGGACCAGCCGACAACTACAACTTTCCACGTAGGCTTGACTGACACACGCAGCAGACCACTTCAGTTCAGTCTTCCCTTTCTTAATCTCTCTCTCTCTCTGTTCTGTATTCTGTATCCTTTGATGACTTCAATGAGCCCTCCCTTTGACACAATTGTAATCACAATTTAAATGAAACTATTATTCTTAAATATTATGCTATATAGATCTGAAACATAGGATATGAATCTAGAAACTAAAAAGAAAATATCATGTATTAATATTGATGAAAAGGTTTGATTAGATGATAAATTCTAGAACTAGATCTCGTAAGAATAGCGTCCATGAAATCGGATCTTTCTGATTAACGCATGCCTCCCTTTATCACGTGATTTTCACTTCAAACAAAATGGCGCCGTACAGTTGTTTGACGTGACCTATCATCCTATGTTAAATCATTTTTACTATTGGTCAGCAGAAGTGTTTGTGTTTTTATTTCCCTCTCTTTTAAAACAATTAAGTACTGCTGTTACAATAGGGAATATGGATCACTGTGATATAAACAAGTCTGAAGACAAAGGTGTCGTGGATGACACCCAAAAGTTGTCAAAGAATCAACTGAAGAAGTTGAAAAGGAAGGAACGATGGTTGGCCGTGAAGCAAGAGCGAAGGTATAAAATTTTTAAATGGTAGCGTCAGTTGCCACCAAGTGACGGGGTGGCAATTGAGACTCTCTCTCTTTCACCTTGTCTCTGGAGGAAGGGGGGTTGGGGAGTGATGCTGACCGCACCGCATGACTGGCTCGCTATGCATTCAATCTTTCGGAAGGACTTCCGTAACGAGCGACCACCCCTTCAAACACAATAAAGTATAAAGAAGAGGCCTAGACCTAACCCTAACCCTACCCCTAACCTTAACCCTAACCCTAACCCTACCCTTACCCCTAACCCTACCCCTACCCCAAGCCCTCAATTCTGTTCTGTCTCATAATGGTCGCTCGTTACGGAAGTCCTCCCAATCATTCTGTGAGGCGTGCGCGGTGTGGATTGCAAGAGGCGTAATTTTCTATAAAAGCCAGTGAAATGAGAGGAACGGAATGACATAGAAGTCGACTGTGTACATATGAGATGTTCTGCTTTCCACTTTAATTCATCTTCTTGCTTTCACACCGTCAACATGTTCATCAAGGGAGCTAACCACGTTAATTGGTTCTTTTTTTCCTCTCTTGATTTTCTCTCTCTTTCTTTATATTTGGGGCTTTCACGGACATGAGGAATTACGGAAATCTTGAACACTATCTTCAGTCCCCAACGAAATTCCAGTTACCCGTGTTAGACGATGTACTTTCCAAAACTCCTAACAGAAAATAGACGTCGAAAAAAAATATCACTTTTCCCTAACTGAAAATAAACGTTGGAAGTAAATCACTCCTCTGGACAGTTCGGGGTAGTCTGGGACAGAGCGTGACTTGACCCACCCAGCGTGGGTGAGAAAAATATAAACTTAGATATAGTGGTACTCTTGGACAGTGTCATTTTATTATATTATATTATATATTTATATAGAAAAAAACCAAAAGAGGAGTTGGGAAGTGTTCTAGTAATTTTATTACTTGGACAGATGGTCATTTGAGCATGTTCAGTTGCATTTTCTATTATAATATTTGAAATTATAGGCCACCTCTATTCTCACCCGGGGTGAGAATAGCGCAGGCGAGTCTTTTGGCTATTCTCACCCGGTGTGCGTTCAACGTTATAGCCTAGATCTAGGCCAACCAATTTTGCGTTTACCCTGAACCGCAGAATTCTACACTGTGATAACAGGAAATTTTTAGAATTTTGCGCCGTGAACAAACGTTCCATTACTACTGCTGTTAGCCTAAATTCGTACAAAATTTTGTCTGTGGGCAGTAGAGAGAGAGAGGAGTAGCGCGTGAACTTCCGGGCAAAACAAAATGGCGCTTACTTCGGCTCGATTCGAAAGGTTAAATAGCCGTAGCATCTTTGTAGACGACCAAATTAATTTACTGTGTTTAAACATTATTTTTAAACTTTGTTTTGGTCAATTTGATCGTCCACACCGATAGACAGTATTCAGAAAGAGACAGAGAGAGAGAGAAGAGGGGAGGATTAGATCTTGCGAGAACTTCCGGCAAAACAAAATGGCGACCTGAGTAGTTCGGCTCGATTCGAAAAGTGAAAAGCCATAGCATCTTTGTAGACGATCAAATTAGCTTACTTTTGTGCTATAACGTAATTATTTCTTTGCTTTTATCCATTTGATCATCCACACCGATAGAAAGTATTCCTAAATTAGGAAAAACAGGTCTTGTTTCACACCGGGTGAGAATAGCCAACGGTGGCAAGTCTCACCCGGGGTGAGAGGTCGATCGTTTCTATTCTCAACCCGGGTAAGAATAGTCACTTCCAAATTATAAGTCCAAAACAAATCTATGTTTCAGGACTTTGAAGAGGGACTTAGTTTGGCTTGGAGAAAGTAATGTGATAGAGCATGATTATGTTTCCCTATGGCCTGCAATTGACTCGAGTCCCTTCTCATATATATATCTCTTTCTCCTGTTAAGTTTGTATTTTTAATTTGATAGCTTTTTTTTCAAAAGTTTTTACACTTATGAGCACTTTTTAAATAAACCACTTCTCGTAAAGAAACCTGTGTTTCTATTAAAAAATGGGTAAATTTTTACTTTCACTCCCGCACACAGATGCACTGTTTCAGGGGTCAAACTGCTGTACTGTTTGCTGCAGATCACACATAAAGCCACTAAAACTGTCGCAAATCAATTATTTTCAAGACAATTTCAAATCTAACTGTAAAATATCAAATTATGGGTAAAAACAGGTTGGCATGCCCCCCTGTAACCCCCCAGATATTCTTTTACCCCAGTGGGGCAAGCCCCCCTGTAACCCCCCAATTGGTTCAAAGCATGTCTATCTCGGTTAAAAACAATCAAATGTTTCAAAAACTATTAATTTGCGACGGAAATGAAGTTGATATTTGTGTTCAGCGCATCAATATTTAGTAGAAAAAAGGCATCTGGTAGCTGAGTGTGAGACGGGAGGGAAAGTAAAAAAATACCAAAAAATGATGTACATATAATATGGATTATAAAATAAGTTGGTCTGTTAGAGAGGTAAAAGAATTAAAATTACAGCATTTTTTACATATATCAGGTGTTTGTGTAAGATTATTTGTATAATAGAATGTTGCTAATCTTATAATCTTAAACCATCAAGCACAGTGCAATCAAATACTGAAGATAGTTTGTACAATATAACAGGGACAGGTCGAATTCGTTGGGACCGGCCTCGGTAGTTCGAAGGATCCGTAGGTCAAGGGATATTGAAGATAAAGATAAAGTAAGAAAAGAACGGGACCGCAAGCACAGTTCGACGGATGCATCATTTCAAGTCTATGCGTTCGACCTATCCATGTTATACTGTATACAGAATACAGTATACACCCTCAGAGTGCCATTGTCTATTGACAGAGTTTCATTTTTGATACTGATGATATTATTGCTTGCTGTATAAAATATATATAATGTTTAAGTTTGTTTATAACCCGTGTTGTAAATTCCTAATCAGACTTTCTTAGGTCGAGAAAAACTATGTCTTTAAAAATACCACCACCAGGAAATTATTACTTGAATTAAATGTTTTCACTGGTCTGTTGGATGTGGCATTTTAGCTTCTACATCACGCGATTTTGTTTAAAAGTGACACAAGTCACAGTTGCCTAAAATGTTATGTTTTGTTATCTCCTCTCTGGTTGTTAGTCCAAAGAGACTTTTGACTGCTGTGGCCTCGTTCAATGTTGTTTTTGATTTTTTAATGAATTATCCAATACTCACAATCTGTTGAAACATTTATGAAATAACATAAATTTGCTTTTTTTATCATCATGATAATATTCAAAAATCGATTGTGTTTACCCAGTCCTAATCTGTGATATAAGTTTATAAACTCTCCGAGGGATTACCCAATCTTTTTTGTCGTGTAATTTATGGCCGAGTATAATATCATGTGGTTTAGTTTTGCTGTAATTTCTTTTGTTGTATTTCAGGCAGCAGGAAAAGCAGAAAAGGAAACAGCGTCTTGCAGAAAGAAGAGAAAAAGGAGAGGATATTGGTCCCAATAGAAAGAGATTGAAGACAAATACTATGAAAAACTCCTCCTGCAAAATCCAAGTTGTTTTGGACCTTTCTTTGGATGAATACATGAATGACAAGGTACTGTTTTGCTCACTTACTTTTTAAGACTTAAAACTCTTGAGCCGTTGAATGAAGGTTGGCCTCTATCCAGTAGTGTTTTACCTAGATACAAGATATACCCTAGTGGTTGCGTGTCTACTTTGTTGAGAAGTATCGTAAACGACAAACCCAAAAGAACAATCAACGTCAAACAGGTCACAGAATTGTTAGTCATGGTCAAAACTGTATGGAAAACAAAAGCCAGTTGGTTTATATTTTTAACTATATGTTTAAAACAATACATTTTAAATTATAATCGCATCAAGACAATATGAAAGTAGAAAAGAAGCAATTTTCATTTTTCGAGAAAAAAGGAAAGATCAGATGCAATTTAAAGACTTATATATGATATACATTCCCACTGTCAATTTAAAGAGTTATATGTATATTATATTCCAACCATCTGTTATACTGACCATAACACTGTCTTATTTCACACTGATGCTGTTGTTGATTATGGCTTGGTTTTGTTTGTTGTACATCTCCCTCTCCAGGATGTGACATCCCTGACCTGCCAGCTACGTCACTGCTACTCAGCCAACAGGAGAGCCCAGAATCCCTTACAGGTACATGTTCTTGTGTGGTCTTTTGAACTAGCTTGATTATGACTTGTTGGTTTTGTTACATAGCTTGGGTCTTTGCTATTGGAGTTGAATGTTGGAAAGAAGAATACTTTTGGTGAAAAAAATCTGTACGTTTTTAAGAGAAAATAGAGATGTGACTGCATTTATTTACATTTTAAGTTTTCAGATTCTTGAATGCTTTGTGAGTTACACATTTAAATACTGTCTCATATTTTCCTGTAGCATAAATGTGACCATCCTGCCAATTGTCAAGCCTGTTGTTGGTAATTTTTGGTGTCATAGTCATAGACGGACAGGTAATTATTCCAATAATAAAAATGAAAGTAGTCATTTTTATCAGAGACACATAGTGCTGATTCTGTACAGTATTTTATGGCACTAGATGTCAAAATGATGGGCCCTGAGATGTGTATATTTTCATTTGTGATAAATGAATGTACTCCGAGTTTTACAAATTCTGACATATAAAAGGACAAGTGACTTTTGAGTATCTTTTTCCTGATACTTGAAAATTGTTTTTTTAGAAGGAGCTACCATGTTTTTTAGTTCATTGAGATCAAAGCTTGCTGTTCCAGGTTATAAATTACCTCTTACTCACCATCAATTTACGAAAAGTAAACTGAAAAATCGTAGGGTATTTTGCTGTATTGAGTTTTTTTCTTTTTGGCCTCATGAGTTTCACAGCAAAAAAAGATAGCTCAAATTTTTAGGCGGGCTAGCTCAACATAGTGTTACTGTTAGTAACATCACCTTTTATTGCTACTTTTTCCACCATTTTTTTGTAGCTGGTAGTTTTCATGCGCTTTTATGTTGTCTGGTCATTTTTTATCCCAGTATTATGATTGTCTCCTTATTACCTTTTTAATCTTAAAAGAAATAAATTTAAAAAATTATTTAAGAGGACGTTGCCATCCAATAGATATTATATCTGAGGCTAAATAAAGCCTCATCAGCGTCTGTAGTATCTGCTCCGCTGTACTCAGCACAAGGCCAAAAAGTCAGGAACAGATGCTACACTTTGATCCTAGCTGAAAGGCCAAGAAGCGATTGCCTTTTTAATCTGGTTTGTGGCTACCATTTTACCATTATACCTGCTCTTTGAAAACTACAACATATTTCTACTACGTGGGTGGTTGGTGGGTGCTCTGGTGTGGTTTGCTTCTTCTTTCCTATCAAACATCTGTTGTCTTTATCTCCCCTCCTTTTTTTGCGTTTGTTTGTTACTCTGTTGTAACACCTCTAATCTTCGGCACTTATATTACCTTATTGTGTTGCAAGTGCTGTAAAACACATACTAAAACTAAACTAATTTCTGCTACATGTGTCAGTCCCCGTACTTGCTCAAGTAACTAGCTAGCTGTGTGTGATGTTACGAATAAGGAGATGAAGTGCAATACCTACTGCAAAAATACAATTTATTTTCTGTTTAAGGTTTTTACTTTTTTTTACTATTCTTTATATAAGGTGGTTCATCTCTCGTACATAAAAAAGATAATGCTTTTTTTGCAGATGCACTTCTGTGGTTCGTCTGGAAAAACCATGAAGCGGCTGGATGAAATTGGTGACTACAAGGGATGGGACGTAAGTTTTTGACTTCTTAAAGTAGTTTTGAATTTACAGGGGCAGAAAATTTTTCGAAGAATTAATCCTTCAAAATTTCTTGGAAGTATATTTCATTTTATATGTTTTTTAAAATATTTTTTTTTACATTATCTTTTCTTTGCAGTTTGCTCTGCCCTTATTTATTTTTTTTTCTTCGATATGTAGTATTACATGGATAGGTCAAACACAGAGGACTCAAAATCATGCCACAAACACAGAAAAGTCAAACTAATTACGCCACCATATAGGTCTAAAGTCAATTTCCTTTAGGTGCACTTGAGACAAAACAATTTTTTTTTAAAACAGAAAAAGGCAAAATCGGTAAAATACCACCTTCCACCCTCCACAGAAGCAGCTAGCTGTACTATTTTTAGTGCACTGCTAGAAACGCGTGCCTTGGCGCTAGACCTAGCTAGGTTTGTGTGGAGCGGGCGAGAGGTAGGGTTGTGCCTCACACGATCGGCTACCCCACCCCTCTTCACAAAGGACTTCGTGCTTGGTGGGAGAGGTGGGATAAACAAAAAAATTTTAAAAGGGCTCATTGTAAGCCTACCTACAGTGAGCGTTGCCTTTGCCCAAAAAACACGTTGTCGCGTTCTGTTCGCAGACGTACGAAGGGATGTAATCAATCTATTGTTTTGCCCTTAAAGTTGCAATCTTTGTTGCTTACCTTGATTCTCTGACACAGCTGATGCCATTCCGCTGTTCACATATTCCTCGAACTACTGAGGCCAGTCCCGACAAATTCGAGCTATCTGTGTTATACTGTATTAACCAAATTCATACCCTTTGTTGAAACTAAGTGGTTTAGTAGGGGTTTTAATCCTCTTTCGACACTATATGGCTATTCATGAGGAGGGACCTCTGAATTTTACATCTGTTCAATGTGGCAGGCTGAATGTGCTCATGCCCTGTCTTTCTCATTGTCTGTTCTCTGAATTCTTTGCAGCTGTGACAGCCAATTTAGAAAGCAACGGTTTCATTGAGATACCTCAATTTTGCTCCAGCACACTGGAATTGGGAAACGGTCCTAACTCTGTTTTGATTTTGAATGACTTACAAGAACATACTCTAAAACCCTGATAACACAAACATCATGGGACCAGAGAATTTCTTTGTGTCAGCTTTTTTTTGTAAAGGGAAGTTGTAGTGTGTATAGATTCGAGAGGGTCAAAATGCATGAAACATTGATTTAAATCTTATTAGAGCCACCAGGAAGTGGGCACTATGGAAGTGATCATTATTATTATTATTATTATTATTATTATTATTATTATTATTATTATTATCATTCTTCTTCTTCTTTTTCTTCTTCTTCTTCTTCTTCTTCTTCTTCTTCTTCTTCTTCTTATCAATTTTATAACTATTAGTATTAATACTATAGTTATTTTCAAGAGGGAAAAAAACAAACAGGTTTGAAATCCCATCGTGGTAATAGTAATTTTTTGTTTAAAAAAGTCTATTTTCTTTCCATTTTTCAGGTCTATGTTGACACCCGGCCATATGATGAAGCCTTCTCCAAAGACAGCCTTGTATACTTGACTAGCGAATCTCCAAACATCCTCTCTGACTTGTCCGAGGATAAAGTTTATGTCATCGGCGGCTTGGTGGACCACAATAAGCACAAGGTGAGAAGGCCTTTCTCAACTGCCAGCGGGTATTTTCCCACGCTTGCTTGAAATAGTGCGAGATAAGGAATGACACCAGATGTAGATTCATGACAGTGGGAAGTGATTGTTTGTACTGGTGATTGTCTTGAACAGGTGGGTGGCCATTTGAGCACATTCGATTGTACATTCACTTCAGATTTGCCTCTTCCCTACCCTGTGCCTTGTGAAATATTTGAGGCAGCATGTTGAAATCAGGGGCTTGTCATTCTTCTTCTTCCTTGTTCTCGATGACAGCAGCTAGACAGTCAGTCCGATGTTGCGTTCAAACTGTGTAGTTTGCTTCAACCCTGAAAGACTGCCATAGAGTTTTCTCTAAAGGGGAGCCACATTCTGCCACGTCTGTGAGCGAAGGGTGGCGTAGCGCGGGCAGTGCTAAAGGACATGGTTGGCATCCTCTTGGTCGTGTCCACATTCACATGTCGCTGTTTCTCCCACTTTTAATTTGGTGTGCATATGGTGTTTGAGTCTGTTGTGGCCACAAAATAATGTAATCCAGGAAACCGGCATTTTTCTGGCCGTTGGGCACTTTTCTTCAAATGTTCTTTTTTTTCGGGGGGGGGGGGGGGGGGAGTCCAGCACCTTCTATGTCCATTTAAGAACATATTTCTGTATGAATTTTACTCAAAAATATTGATCAAAGGCGCCAAAAATATAAGTTTCTGGTTTCTAAAGACACTCAAGCTTTGGAAGTCACCAAACTTTGGCAGCCATTTTTTCCACAAATTTAGCCTCTGAAACCAGGCGACCCCCATCTCCTTCATTTGTAAATTATTGAATTCTATTCAAGATTGATGCACATTTTTTCCTCCAAATGCAAGACAAATGAATTAGCTTTAAGATCATATTAACTCCATAAGTCTAAAAACTGAGGAGCACCTGATTCTTGTGTGTCTTGACACATATGGTTGTTACTATAATAAATCACAGTGCTGTAAAGTACTGCTGTATGGAAACAGACCATTGACGAGGCCCATTTGCATAAAGACTTAATGTTGTATGCAGGGAAGAAAAAAAATTTTTCTTCTTCATTCTTACTCTTACATGCATTTGTCTCGACTTCTTTTCTCCTTCACACTATTCTTGCTGCTCTTCGGTCTCAACTCTCTTCCTCCACAATTTTTATTCTACTATTCACAACAGCTCCTCTACTTTTCTAACATTTTTCACATTTGTCTGAACTCTTCTGTCTTCTGTGTTCCATTTTTCCATTTAATTACATTTGGTCAAATGGTCCAACTCCTTAACCCCCCCCTCACACACCCATTAACAAACCTGACGCACCTGCTTCCCCAGGGACTGTGTCATCAACTGGCAGAGGACAAAGGTATTGCACACGCCCAACTGCCCATAGGGGATTACTTTGAGATGACAACTCGAAAAGTTCTTGCTGTGAACCACGGTAAAGTAATAATGTAGCTTTTGTGAAATTTTCATTTTTCATCCTCCTTCGATAAAGGCAACACAGATGTCCTCTTGCTACAGATATGATTCAAACCAAAGTTATGGATGGTTTCATGGCTTTAGATTAAGATATAAACCTTGATTGACCTTTGAAATTGTTACAGTTACACTTTGCCCGTCCCTTTCCTTCACTTTTTGGTAAAAATAAATGTAGTTCACCAGTTTAGGCCATAATTGATCATCTGTTAGGAAGAAGAAAAGAAGTGGCGTCGGTGGCCTAGTGGTTAGGCTTTCGGACTCGCAACCGTAAGGTCGTGGGTTCGAATCCCATCAGGGACCCAACGTTGTGTCCTTGGGAAAGGCACTTTACATGAATTTTCCTCACTTCACCCAGGTGGGAATGGGTGCCCGGCTATGGACAGCGAAAGATCTTGTCAGTTTGTTAGTGTTTTAGCGCTTAATCAGCTGCTTACACTGTATGCTTCCCGGGAAGCTGAGAATGTTTTGGAGTGTTCTATAGTCTGCTGGGGTAATAATATAGTGTAAAGCGCATAGAGCCTGCTGTTGAGCGAGGATACGCGCTATACAAATGCTATTTATTATTTTTTATTATTAAGTACATGTCATTGTTTCCTGTTGTATTTATATTTTTTCCCCTTTTGTTTATGCTAGAATAGAAGATTTTGAAGTAAATGTTTGTGTAATATTCAGCAGTGATAAATGGTATTAGTATGGATCATATTGTATTGGCTTGACACCACTTTCTGCAATGCAACGTTTTTTTAAAGAGGCATCTTGGTCGATTGAACATCCGTCTAAGGTCTGAGGTAAGTGGGTTGAGAGCTGTAAAAAACTCCCAAAAGTAACACATGTTGAAGAACGCATTTCAAAGATTGAGACTAAAGTCATGGTATCGTGGTCCAGCTCAGTACACACTGACACTGCAGTAAAAGAATGAAAGGTTTGGTAAATTTTGTTGTCGATGTTATATAGAAAATTTATTGTCATTCGTTTTCTTGTTTCTCTTTTCAGTGTTCTCAATGCTTCTGAGGTTCACCGAGTTACATGATTGGAAAAAGGCTTTCCTGTCAGAAATGCCACAAAGAAAGCAAGCTAGTCTAAAAGAAAAAAATGCAGACACAGCTGAGGAGGAAAAAGAGGGGGAACTAGAAGAGGAGGATGAAGATGGACAGGAGGAGGAGTTTGAACAGGGAGAAGAAAGTGATAATGAAAAGAGGAAAGACACCACATCTGGAACTACACCACCAGAAAGTTGTGTTGAGAGTGAAAAAAGTTTGGAGGGAAAGAATCGAGTTACTGGCAATAACGGGGAGGAGAGTGGTAGTTCAGGATGCTGCTCTGGTGCATCTGATGAGAGAAGTTGTGGTCAGATGCAGGAGAGTGGCACATCAGTTGTGGTAGAGAAGGAAAAAGATCTGAGAGGACACAATACTGACAAAGATGATCAAGTGTCAGATGCTCAAAGCACCACAGGAGCTGAAATGCAAAGCTGACACAACACTTCTTGTTTATTTTATTTTTAAATCATCTCATGTACCTTTCCAAAATAGTATGGTGGAGTCTGCTTAAACCGATCGCGGATAATCCAAAAACAGCAGTAAACCGAAAGAAAATAAATTCCCTGATTTTTTATTTTTTTTCTATTTGAGAAACCTCTCTAAATCGAAAACCCGGCTTAACCAAATAAAATTTGCTAGTCCGGTAGATTTCAGTTCAAGCAGACTCCACTGTATCCTTGGAACACCTGCAATGTAATTAGTCATTTTTGGACATGCCGCATTAAGAATTAAGTTGTGAGAGATTTTATTGGCAGAACTTAATACTTGTCATTGTTGTAGATCTGAATCTAAAAGTTGTGTTATAGCTTCTTTCCTTAACCCCGGAATGGATTTCCAAGGTTTGACAGAATTGATTTTTTGGGTTTAATGAGCTAAATGTTACTGGTTATTTCACTTGAAGTCAGTATTTAAAATCTAATAACATATGTCCATGGTGAAGGAAACAGAGGCCATGCATGAGATTTAGAAGAAAACTATTCCAGAGTATTTTTCTTGAACACAGGGCTCTACATTGTGTACCGATGTAATTTGCTCTAGAAGCAAAAGGAAAGATTGCGGTATGTTAACCAAACTTTTATTGAGCTGTCACGTTATAGAACTTGTTGCTTATAATATTGGATAGGCTTGTATGTTTTTACAAGTGCGAGCTTTATTTTGCCTTTTCTCTTATACAGTGGAACTCGGATTCAACAAGGTCGCCGGGCCTGACTTAAAATCTCGTTGAATCCGAGTGTTCATTACAGTAAACAGGAGGTTTTGTGTAGATAGTTACAGGCACTGAGCAAGTAATGTATAAAGAGAAGTAACAAGTGGTGCCTGAAATGCCTGCATATTATGAGCTGTGCAAAAAAAGACAGATTCGTTCAAATGCACGCCTGTGTCATCTCGATTGTTTGCCAAAAAGTTGTGTTGCTATGTAGAGTCTAGCATACAGCAATTTTTTATTCCATAGACCAGCACATAATTCATAATGTAGACTAGCTTATCATTGTAACAATGATCAGTTGCCATGGGGGGGGAGGGGGGGGACTGTGATGCGTTTGTGTCTCTGCAGCGTTCCACTCCCGGACCGATGGTGCCCCTCCACCCCGACACGCACCCACAGATGCATGTGTGCAGGCCGCTAATCTGACCCCGACACAAGCTAGAGTGGACACGTTTGCATGCCAACAACGCATGCGTTGGTATGAAAGAAGGCCACTGATTGCTCACATGCAATCGGCTAAGTGAATAATGGTCCATGATGCAGGTGCAGTGGATGGTTTTCGGGGATAGATAAAGTTTGTTGTGGCAGAAAGATGAGCGAAGCCACGTCTGTGGGAGCTTTTCACCCTGGAAGCGACCTCATTGAATCCGAGCTTGAAGTGTTCTTTGAATCTGGATTATTTTTTTTGATTTTAAAGAAGAAAAAAAAACGGGGAATCCATCTCCCCTCGTTGAATCCCAGTTCCACTGTATCGGTGTTCTGCACTGCAACGGTACTATTGACAAGGTGCATTTCAATATACCAGTATTTAGTTTTTACATAAAAAACTTCTTTTGGTACTGAAGTTAAGGATTCAAATTCAAGTTGGATCTGAATTGGTGTTATGTTTCCCAGGATTATTTTGTGTCGGTCTAATGTCCTATCGGAGGGCCAAATGATTCATCTTTAAGGTGCTCTACTTCATGTCTAGGTAGAACAATTAAACTTCTTCAAAACAATGATTTTGTTTCGGAAATAATGGCAATAACAGCAAAAAAAAACTTGACAGGAAATCATATTATTGGAACAAAAACGAGTAAAATGATGTCTTTTATGATCAAGGTCTAAAGTTTAAACTCTACTAGTGAAGAATGAGAATGGGACATATGTATGGCTTTCAAAAGTTGTGTTTGAATGAGAATTATAGGGATACTTTTCAGAGCAGATCTGTATTTTCATGTTGATTTTGACTAATAAATAATGGCTCTATGGACTTTAAGGCTGTTGTGGTGTGACTTCTTGGTCGCTTTGTGTACGTTTTGTTGAATACTGATGTTCTGTGTGGGTTGTTGGCGGGTGCTCTGGTGTGGTTTGCTCCTTCTTTCCTATCAAACATCTATCGTCCTTGTTTCCCCTTCTTCTTTTTTATGTTTGTTACTCTCTTGTAAGACCTCTAATCTTCTGGTGCTCATATGACCTTATGCAGTTGCAAGCACCGAAAAACTCTTTCTTAGCTAAAACTAAGATGTACTAAGCCCAAAATTTTGAAATGTTTTATAAATTGTAGTTTCTTAATCTGTGGTATTGGTTGCATACTCATGAAATATTTGGTGGAAATTTAAATTCTAGATACATGTATTGAAGAAACCCCCCCCCTAAAGATATAGTACATTTAAGTGTAAAAGAATCGAAGTAGTTATTTTCTCTCTCCCGCAAAATTTTGTTTTCTGGAATTAGAGCAGTTGAACAGCTTTTTCCTGAAATGTAGCAAATATTCAGTCTGTAGTGACCTTTCGTCAGACTAAACAGTTTGATCTGTTCCAATCTTTTGTACATTAATAAGTACATGCACCAGCATCTGTGATAAGTGTAGCAGTTAGGTGCTTCACTGTAGCTTACAGGAGACCTGAGTTTGAATTTGATTCCCGTGTAGGGAGAAATTTGTATTGAATACCTCAGTATTTTTGCTTGGATGTTGAAAACTATACCTCTCATACCGGGTTGGCCCTGACAGGCAGGGTTGGAGACCCACCTCCAAAATGATCTAAATTGTCTTGATCAGGGCGTAAAATCACCTACAAAATTATAAATCTTTAAGAACTTATAGTAGAGTTGTCACATGAGTTACTGTGTTGGGGTGTTGCTGCTTCCAAAACTGAAATGATATCATGCATTCTAATTCTAATGAAGTTTCTTGGGCTTACAGATCAGTATTTTAGCAACATACCGTACTACATTATGGTACAGTAAAACCCTGATGACGTGAACTTCACAGGACCACAGATTTCTCCATATTATTCAAGATTTCGTGTTAAGGGAAGTTGCAATGCCTAAAACAAAGAAGGAAAACAACTTGCAATTTAAAATCATTTCGTGGTAACAGGAATTTCATGTTAAACAAATCCTTTCATAGTAGTCATAGTATCAGGAGTTTCATGTTAAACAACTTCGTGTTAAGCAAAGTCTTCTGTGTTGGCGTCTGTGCTTAGTGGTTAGGCACTTCGCTGTCTCAAGCGGAAGACCCGAGTTTGATTCCCACTTGGGGAGAATTTTTATTGAGTATCTTGGTCTTTTTTACTGGGTAGCCTGCTTCCTAAATGATCTAGACTCTACCTTGTATTGTGTCAATCGGGGTGTAAGATACACCTACATTAAAATTTTCTTAATAAGTCTTCTGTATGATATTATACTCCTTTCTGACAGCCTGCGTGGGTGGTAAGCTGGTGCTCTGGTGTGGTTTACTTCTTTCACTATCAATCAAACATCTATCGTCCTTATCTCCCCTTCTTCTTTTTTATGTTTGTTACTCTCTTGTAACACCTCTAATCTTCTGGCGCTCATATGACCTTATGCAGTTGCGAGTGCCATAAAACTCTTACTAAAACTAAAACTAGAATTTTCTTATTAAGTCTTCTGTACAATTTGCTCTTTTTTGACAGCCTGCCAACGCAAGGCTACCCAAGAATTACGTTTTATCTGCTCAGTACATAGTTTTGAGAAATGTGACGTCAAAGTTTTTGAGTTTCACAACATGTCATTGTTCTTCGAATGCAATTCTTTCAATGTCTCGATAAGGACTCCAAATAATCTTACGATTTTGATACAGTAGATACATGTAGAACATTTGGTTTCCGATCTCATGGTTTTAGTAACTCAAAACGACCTAAAATGTCAGATAGAATTTAATAATTCTAATACTTAGTACTCATTGGTGGATCAGTTCTCTCTAACACAAACCGATCGCCCGACTTGAGGTCTTGAGAACAAACGCTTTAAGTTTTTGAGGCCTCGATTTGAGCGATCAGTTTGTGCTATGATGGTCGCTTTTCATCCTCAATCTGGCTAGCCTCACCTACCAAACCGAAGCGAACCAATCGTTTCAGCGGGTGCTGGATAAGGCTGTCCTCCTCGTTTTATGCAAGAAAAATTCTGAAATTATGCAAACTGAGCCCAAAAGTGGGAAATTATGCGATTCTGTTAATTTTAACAAAGAATGAAATTATTCAAAAAATGATCAAAATTTGCTAAATTATGCGGGGTGCATAAAACCACGGGGGGCAGCTATAAGGTAGCAACGATCACAAAGTAAGTGAAAAATGAAAGATTTAGTGATGGTCAAACACAAATTTTATTCCACTGATCTGTACACACAGCAGCACTCACACTCAAGAAGGTTTCAAGTTTCATTCTATGCATTTATATATTTGAATTATATTCGTTTTACTTACAAAATATTGGGCTTAACAGAATTGAAATTTCAGGAGTGGGGGGGGGGGGAAGTAGAAAGGAAGAAAGAGAGTAACAAGTCAGAAAACAGTAAAAGAACTAAAGGAAAGAAACTGCAAACCTTTTGGGGGGGGGGGGGATAATGACTAAAGTACATTCAGAGATTGGAAGTGCCGTGAGTGGCTCTGTCAGCTGTGAAGAAAGAGGGGTAATATTATTGTGTTAAATTTATCTCCTTTATCAGACAAAGGGACGGGTTCCCTCTTCAGTCAGTGCTTCAGTAGTGTGGGTTGGTCGTTTCTTTCTTGTATCTTAGTATGAGCACTTTCCGTTGATCGTTGAAATAATTCATTGGTTCGTACATAATATTTGTTCGAATTGTAATATGGCTGGCAATGATTGATAGTGGGGAAGGAAATTGACAAGTGTCTAAACTAGAAATTTTGGTGTAGAGCTAACTGTGAAGGAAAAAAAAAAGAAATGAATCCACTAATATTGTTGTGATATAACAACAGTTTTCCACATAGATATATTTTAATAACGTATCCTGCCAGTAATGTAAAGCACTTTGAAAAGAGGTATGAAATCTGAGGGTGGTTACCAAATAGAGAGCTGATGTGCACTTGTGTGAGACAAAATGAACAACCCACTCGGGGAAAACAATGAAACTTATATCATGCTGTTTGTGCCTGACATGACAGACACATAAATAGCGCAGGTAATACTGAATGAAAAAACCTTCTTTGTACAGTTACGATGTTCTATTGTGTATAAGTATAAGCGGATGAATCTGAGCAACAGACAGTACATACAAACTTTGAAACAACAGTACAACAGTAACAAATATAATATGTATTTTAATTATGCTCATGCAAGTAAAAGTCATTGTTTGGTTTTGTCTGAGAACTTAAGTCTCAGTTCATCTTTCAAAGTTCAGGACAAACTACGAAGGCGATTTATTTCCAGTTCTCATCATAACTTTTGTTGAGTAAGGCGTAAAAAACACAAAAAAAAAACGCAATCATCACAATGTTTGAGTCATAAGATAGGTTGTTGAAAATGGTAAATATAATTGAAAAGGTTATACAGTGGCATGCAACTATCACAGTCAGTGTAACACACTTGAAAAAAGTATTTTGTGTGTATACAGTAAACATTTGTTTTGTACAGTGCGATAAGATATCTGAGACATTTAGAAATACTGATGTGTAAGTATGAATTAAATATGGAGGTAATGATGATGTCTATCAATGATGAATTGAAAGTGGTATTCCAGTCAGAATATTTTTGCCTTTACCTAAAAGAGACTCTACCACAGACGATAGCATGTATTTCTCAACTGTATTATTACTCTCTACTAGGCCTGCTATAGCCTACTATATATAATTACAATGGAGTCCACTTAAACCAAACACGGTTAATCTGAAAACAGCAGTTAACCGAAAGACAATAGACTTCCTGATTTTTTTCTTCGCTATATGAGCAATCTCTCTAAACCGAAAACACAGCTAAACCGAAGAAAAAAATATCTGGTTGTCCTGCAGATTTCAGGTTAAGTTAAGTGGTCTCCAGAGCATATGTATTTATTGCGTAATATGTAAATGTGTGTGTGTATGTGTGTGTTTCATTTGTCTTTTAGATCTATAACTTGACTAAAGTTTGAGTTTTTAAAACAGTTAGTAATGTGGAACTTATTTGTAGGTGTCTGTGTCTCTTGCATCTATCATCCTTATAATATCTCTACCCCTTTTCTTTGTATGTTACTCTCTAGTAACACCTCGAAACATTTGGCGCTTACATATGACCTAATTGTGTTGCAAATGATGTAAAACTCTTACTAAAACTAAAAAAACAACAACCCAACAACCTAAACTTCAAGTCGTTATTATACAGTACTTCTTTTCTATCCTATCAATGAAGCATGAATTCGTGATGGCTAACTCATAATGGAATACCGGACAAAGTCCCTCATATTAAATCAAACATAAAGTTATTTATTTATTTCGTTATTATAATATCACAGATCAGTTAGTTAGAACGTATTCAAAGATTGTTTTTGGCTCCACATGTTTTCCAAGGGCTGTTCTTTGGCAGGAGGAGATTTGGTGTACTTGAGCTTGGTGGCCTCTGGGCTGGCTGGTTTGGGGGTGGCTGGGGGCTCTGGCCGGGTGAAGGTTGGAACCCGGGCCGGCTGGAGAGGGGTCATTGGCTTCCTGGTGGTGGGTGGCATGGCCTTGAAGACGTCATTGACCGGAGGGGTGACGGTGAAGACTGGGTGAGAGAGCATAGAAGGAGCTATAGTGTTTTTGGGGTTTTTTTGTTTATCGTTTTTTTTTTAAAGTGAGCTACATAATGTGGCAGATAGTATGTACACAGTTTATACACACACACACACACACACACACACACACACACACACACACACACACACACACACACA